CTGCTTCCCTGTAGGACTATATATGTATATATATATATATATTATATAAAGTGGCTCTTGTCACCAGATAAAAATGAGGCAGTTTGAGAGCCTCTAGTTAACCAGGGGCTGTGGAATCCACCCCACCTCACTTTGGCATTGATCTTAATTCCTCAATAACGGTGCCCACACTTTGGCTCAAGGCTGTATGACAATAAAATGCCTTCGACCTGCATTCCCAGAGTTTGAGAATTTGCAGTGCAGTCCTGTGCATGTTTACTAGAAGCAAGACTGCCTGGCATTCAAGGGATCTTCCTCCTGGATAAGGACAGATGGGATTGCAGATCTAGTAATATCGAGCACTTACATAGCACTTTAGTGTTTCAAAGTGTTTTATATTCATTATCTCAGTATAAACTTTGGATCTAATCAACTGAGTTCACCTTTTGTAAGCCAGCAGCAGGCGGGCAAAAAAATACCCATCCAAACCCTGCATTTAAAAAGAGTTCAGTGTGAAGAGTTTGCAAATCCTAGCTTGGACTCCTAGTCAAAACACCCAGAAGTGTCTGCTCTTCTCAATTCAGGAACTGGCTCAGGGGGTGGGCCTACCTTATCTATCTATATAAATATAATTATTATGTTTTGCATGGTGGTTTCTTGTCTTAATTTGTTTTTATTCTGTCATATTATTATTTTTATTTGTTTCTAACAAAAGTATTTTCTTCTGAACAATTTGATTTGTTTTTTCCCTCAAACCCAGGGGGTTTGTATTTTTTAAAAAATTTAAAATGTCTCTTCTTCCTACCCACACCAACCCACCCCATCCCTTACTTGCTTGGATCTGTTTGAAATTCTTATCCTGATGTAAAGGGCCATAGCAATTATCCTGCTCCTTTTTTGTTAAAAAAAAAGAAATAAAGAAAAAAAGAATACTTTTTAAGAAAAAGTATGTCTTCTATTAAAAGGTCATCTCAGATTACTGGTCTGTGTGCAGAATCATTTGGAGTTGTTACTGGGTTTTGGTTTTTATGACACTTGTTAATCACTGATAACTTTGACTGAAAGCACTGAATGCTATATCACAGGGTGGAAGTATTGCCGGTACTTTTGCACTACAGATCCCAGAATCTCCCAGCTAGCATGGCTACTGGCAATGCTGATTGAGGTTTTTAGGAAGCTATAGTCTAAAAAAGTAACATTTCTAACATTGTATCCTGGAGTTGTGCATTTAAAGCAGCTTTCCCTGGTTCTCATCAGCTTTATCTAATGTGGCCAGTGGTCAGGAACAATGGGATTTGAAGTCCAAGAATATCTGAGAACCCATGATTGGTAACCACTGTCCTAGACTAGCCTGGTTCCTCAGGTGTGATGGACAGAACCCCATCTATTAGTGTTGAACAAAAATTAAAATAACCTCAGGCAATGAAACATCTTCAACTTTACAAATCCTCATGGCCTTCTGCAGCAATTTCACATTGCGTAGCAAAGGTACAATGAGACATTCATAGTACTATGCCTTACATTTTTAGAAACTTGCTTAATTATTGGTAAATGGTTACAGTATATTTGCTTCTGTTCTTTGCTGCTTTTAGAAGTTCTTCAAATCCACATTTGCAAAACTATATGGAGGACTAGCAGCCATTTGTGGAGCCCTACTCTGATCATAGCAACAAAATCCCTCCTCACCTAGGTCTAGAGCTTGGAGAAGTTAACTTTTTTCTACTACAGTTTATAGGTTCAGCAAGTCATTGTTCCAAATAAGTCATGCTGCTAAGCTGAACTTGTGTAGAGCTTGGTACCAGGAATGGGAATCATACCTCCTTCCAGATTGTGTTGGGACTCCAAATCCCAGGAAACCTACACAGCATAGCCAATGATGAGGGGCACTGGCACTTGAAAGTCCAACAACATCTGGAAGGCCACATGATTCCCACCCTGCTAGACTAGACGTTGCACAATGCTTTAGTTTTGAAACACCGTTTTTCCTCGAAGGAGACTAAAGTTCCTTGTTTCATCCACCCAGACGGAGAGGAGAGCTTGGAAAAGGTCTCCCAGGATCTTCCAGCCTGCATAGCAAGTGTAACCAAACTGGCTGTGAAATTCTGTGAGTTGTAATCCAGGAAAGCACTGGTTGAGATAACAATTGGGGTCCAAAGCATGCCGCAGAAATAATCCAGTTTGAGACCGTTTTAACTGCCCTGGCTCAATGCTAGGGAATCCTGGCACTTTATTGTGGCACCAGAGCTCTCTGACAAGACAAGGCTAAATGTCTCACAAAACTACAGTTGCCAGAATTCCCTAGCAATGAGCCAGGGCAGTTAAAGCTGTCTCAGACTGGATTATTTCTGCAATGTGTTTTGGACCTGGGTTCATTTTGCTTTTTTTTTTTTTTTTTGGCCAACATCATTTGAACCTGGGTTTCCCAGGTACATCACCATAGCCTGCTACACTACAACTTTTTCTTATGTGTAGTGTAGCTTTCAGGTTTGACATGCAGTGGGGCAGGGTAAGACCTTCCCATCACAACCACTGCTAGTCTTTGTGGCTTGCCTCTCTAAGCCCATTCCATCCATCTCCATGAGTGGGGAGACAACACACATGGAGGATGCTGCTCTTTCACCTTGGTTCTTTCCTCACTTGGCCTGGGCTACAACAGCCAAGAGGAAAAGCAGGATGGAGGGATACTGGGAGATAACGTGGTACCCTCCTTGCCAATATTTCACAGATGAAAACTGGACACGTGGCCAAACAATATCGAAACGTGGTCAAGACGACAAAAGTTATTAATGAGGAAGAACGCACAAGCTAGGAGGGGCTGCAGCAGTTTGCTTTTGCCTGAGCCTATTGGGAAGTGGAAGATTTTGTGCCTTGCTCTACTATCTGCCCTATGGAGCTGAGTGCAAAGTGCTTTTGCACTTGTCAGCAACTCAAGCTGAGAACAAAAGAGGAAAGTGGGAGGAAAGAGAAACGGGGGCATTTTAAAAACAGCAGCAAATGTGTGATGACAGGATTGATCAGAACTGTCCCTGCCAAATGGGGGCACTGGGAGGTTATGGGATAGCACCTGGACCTCCCTAGGTGTCCAATGATGCTTCCCTAGTAGTGAACATATAAGCATCTGACCTGGAAACAAAGGTGTGTCATTGAATGTGCAGCAGTCCCACGTATGCCTACTCACAAGTAGGCCTCATACCTTATCTTTCTTTGGCTTACACATCCTAGAACTCCCAAACAACAAGGCTAGTAGGGTACCATGTCATCACCCATATCCCTCCATCCTGTTTCTCTTCTTGGCTGTTGCAGCCCAGGCCAATTCTGGCTGCTGTAATCCTAAAACTAACTTTTTCAAGCTCTGCTACCAAATAAGTAAATATTGCATTGTGGACTCAGTTTCCAAATACCCGAAAGAATGACAACTGGAGCAATTCATGCCTTCCCCAAAAGTTTTAACCCTGATTTTATTCTTAACCAAGAATTTGGTTCACTTGTGTGCCTCCAAGGCTGTCTCTGCACTACAAAAACAATGCAGTTTCATACTGCTTTAGCTGCAGTGGCCCAATGCTATGGAATCCGGGGATTAGTAGTTTATAGTTTGAAGTGACACCAGAGCTCTGACAGAAGGCTAAATATCTCACAAGTGGCACAAAACTACAAATCCCAGAATTCCATATCATGGAGCCATGGCAGTTAAAGCAGTATCAAACTGCACTATTTCTGCAGTGCTGATGCAGCCCAACTCATTTCTGACTTATGGTGACCCCAAGGAGAACTTATCATGGGTTTTCTGAAGCTAAGAATGTGTGATTCAGCCAAGGTCACCCAGTAAGTTTCCATGGCCTGAACCCTGCTCTCCAGTGCTCACACCACGCTGGTTCAGCCTTGCTTCCCTATAGCATACTAGATCCACAAAACAATACCTTTATTCAAACAATCAAAATGTACAAAATACACGCTACATGCTAATTCCCAGCAGACAATGGACCATTAGACACTAATCCTCCTCACATATCCTCCCACCCTGAGGCCTTGCCACAACAGAACAATACACAGATTTACATGCTAATCCTCCCAACCAAGGGTCACACAGTATATAGACCCCACACACCTCCATGACACCATTCTCTGATGCTGCCAGCCACAGATGCAGGCGAAACGTCAGGAATACATTCTAGAACACAGCTTCACAGCCTGAAAAACCCACAAAAAACTATACACGTTGCAAGCTTTCAAACCTCCACTGGCTTCTTCATCAGGCAAAGATATTAAAAATCATATAGTAAAGGGGAGGGAGGAAATGATGGTGGTTTTATTCACAAGCCTGCATTTTGTCCAGATGTGGCTGTTCTCAGTTCAAGTGGTATTGGAAGGACATCTGGCCACCCTATCCTAAAGCGACCCTATCCTGGGTTTTTCTTGGCAAGATTTGTTCACAGAGGGTTGGCCATTGCCTTCCCCTGAGGCTGAGAGCATGTGACTTGCCTGGATACCTTTCTCATATAACATGGGCAGAGTGTGGCTGAGCATGTGCAGAAGTCCTACACAGCAGCAGGCATAGTTCACATCCACCTTGGAAGTGGGATGATGATGATGATGATGTGATGATGATGATGATAGGGTTGCCATATCCCGATTTTTGCCGGGACATTCCCGGTTTTTAAGGGTCTTTGGGATGAGAGAGTGTGACTGGTCCTAGGTCATCCAGTAGATTTCCATAGCCAAGCCGGGATTCATATCCTGGTCTCTAGAGTCCTAGTACAACACACAACCATATGTTATTATTATTATTATTATTATTAATATATTTGGATGATGGCTTTGCTTGGGGGTAGATGAACTCCCAAAGAAGTATCGCTATAGCTGTTGTTGTTGTTGTGTGCCTTCAAGTCATATCCGATTTATGGCAACCCTAAGACAAACCTATCATGGGGTTTTCTTGGCAAGATTTGTTCAGAGGGGGTTTGCCATTGCCATCCTGAGGCTGAGAGAGTGTGACCTGCTCAAGGTCACCCAGTGAGTTTCCATGGCAGAGCCGGGATTCGAACCCTGGTCTCCAGAGTCACAGCCCCCAATGTTCAAACCACTACGCCACGCTGCCTCCTATCCCTAAAGCTATTCCACTCCCCCCCAAAATCATCCGGCCGCACCTTTGCTCTCAATATA